CGGAGGCTGCGGTGCCGCTCCAAGAAGCGGGTGGAGGAAACAGACAGCGATCGGCGCTGCCGAAGCGGCGGAAGTCCCCCCCCTGGATTTCCACTCGCCCCCACGCAATTTTCACTCGCCAATTGCGAGTGGGCGAGTGGAAATTTTGAGCCCTGCCATAGATCCTTAGACCACCAGAGCCCAGAGGAAAAGGGGCTGCGGAAACTGGTCTAGCAGCCACACGGGACCAAGGGCCAGGTGATTATTTATTGTTTATTTTCACCTCTAGACAAAACAAGTAATTATCTCTAAAGTGTGGGGTAGCCCTACTGCAAGGGTTTAAAAAAATCCTTTAGTAGAACTTTTTAACTGCATCTTGTAAGAGGTTGTCAATTAATCACTTGTGCCTATTTCAAGGAACAACTTAATTGGAAATGAGGGACATTTGGAAGGTGGAATTCACTCATTGAAGTTTTTTCTTTATATGATAAGTCCAAATGTACATTCCTTGCATTCTTTAAAATAAAAATGCCAGCTTAAAAATGGCATACTGACAAGTATTGTTTCCAAGGAATAGAGTACAAACTACAACAATTGCAGCAGGAAGGACTGCTGTGTTATGGGAACAGAAACCAGTGAATATACCTTTCTATTAAATTCAGGCTCCATGCTTCTCCCCTTCTCCAGAGGACCCGCTCCTCTCATTGAAGCCCCCGCCAGCAGAAAGGGTCTTTATTTTTTTTCTTACTTTTTTCTTATGCTTTCTGATGGGCTGTGTTCTCTACCTCTTCAGTCTTTCGATGTTCCCTGTACTCTTAGGTCTTCTCCTTGTGCTGGGTGGTCCTGGATAAGAGAGCGGCGCTGACATGATGACATCAGTACATCAATACTCTGTGGTGGGAATTTATCAAAACCTGAGCAGACAGAATTGGAAGCAGCTGTGCATGGCAACCAATTAGCTTCTATCTTTAATTTTTAAAGCTTAACAGAACAAACCGAAGAGAGAAGCTGATTGTCATGGGCAACTGTTCCAGATTCCTTCTGTTCCAGTTTTGATAATCACAATACCTTGAAGCTTAAAAGAGAACTATGGGGTAAGTGTTTTTCCCCATAGTTCTCTTAGGGTACTCTTATGTACTCATGGGAGTACATATACTAGCGTCCTCCAGTGACTCAAAGCTCAGTAGCTTGCGGTATACTGAGACCGCCGCAGCCGGGACAGATCGCGGCATTACTGTCGAGATACACCCAACTGTGTGAGGGACAGCGGGCTCTGCCTATCTAGAGGCAGAGCCAGCTGTGCCCGCCCTCTCCCCCGTCCGTTCCTCCAGTCAGCGCTGCAGGATCAGAGAGGGGAGGGGGGAATCTCTGCGAAGAGTGGTGACTGATAGTCACGGCTCTCTTCAGGGAGATGATAGAAAAGTGAGCAAGCGACGGTAAAGCCCCGTTCACATTGAGCGATTTATCGCACGGTAATTCCCGCGATATCGCGGGAAATTACCGCGCGATATCGCGCTCCAATGCATTTAAATGGGGCAAAGGGTCCTGCTGTCGCGGGTCGCGTGTCGCTACAGCAGGACCCTTTTTGTAGCGGATTTAGCCGCGATTCAAGCTTGCTCAATGCAAGCTTGAACGCGATATTGCGCGGCAAATCTCGCGATGTCGCGCAATATGCAAATCGCGCGTTTGTCGCGCAGTGGGAACGGGGCCTAAGTGTTCACTCCCCGATCTATTGAGCCGACGTGTGACAGTTTCATTGTCACACGTTGCCTTGAACTATGAGGACGAGTGATTTTTCACTCACCTCATAGTCCTTTTTTAATTCTACTTAAGTTGCCTATTGATATCAGATGATTGTTGACCAGTTTGGCCAGCTATAATGAGACTGATGCATAATTGTGCGCCATTAGGTTAGGTCAAAGCTGAAAAATACCAGGATCCAGGTATATCCTTAAAAATTACAGCTGGCTCCCAACTTTTGAGGTTTTCTCTAATTGGCTCCTTCAAAATTTTGATGGCTTCTGGATTGGATAGACTGGCTTCCATATTAATTTGTCCACCCCGGGTTAGGTCCAATTCTTTTTCTGGCTTTAGCTGTATTTTTGTGGGGAACCTGGAGTGCTGCAGAGTCACTGAGAGTGGAGTTAAGCAATCATACTAGTGTTGATTTCAGGGATAAGTAAAATAAAGTAAAATTGTTTTTGCCTTTTTATCATTGTTTTTCTCTATTTTAATCTGTT